GCTCAGGTTATCATTTTTAACTGGACATATATCTTTAGACACCAAAGCTTTCTCACACACACAAACTCTCTAACAGATGAGTTGGTCTAACAGCATTTAAGGTGACCAAGTGTGGTGGTACACACTTGTAATCACCGCACTCAGGTGGCTGAGGCAGAAAGATTATTCCAAGTTCAAGGCCAGCCCGTATTATATTGTTGAGACTGGCTCAAAAAGCCTCCCCCAGGGCTGGGGATTTAGCTCAGCAGCACAAGCACCTGCCTGGCAAGCTTGAGGTCAGGAGTTTGATCTCTGCTCCCCCACACCCCTAGAAATCATTTAAGGAGGTAAGGTCTTCAGGGCTAAGTGAGACACAAGACAAGACCATGATGATAGCTTTTACATAAAAATCAGAAAGTACTAAGGAGTCTATAAACCTCTGGATGAACAAAAGTAAATTTCAGTGGTCTGAAGTTTGAACCTACGTCATGTTCAAAACATTAGAAGGCTAGTGTGCCTAAAGCACAGTGTACTAGGCTGGTGATTTAGCTCAGGGGTGCTTGCCTAGTTCAGTTCAAGTGCTTGCAAGGTCATGAGTTTCATCCCTGGTTCTTAAAAAAAAAGAAAAAGCACAGTATACTAACAATAAGAGAAATGGCCACCACAAGGTCCTGAGTTCAATTTCTGTTACAAAAAAAAGACAGAGGGCTGGGGATTTAGCTCAGCGGCATACGTGCCTGCCTTGCAAGCACGCAGGTGCGAGTTCGATCCCCAGAACCGATAAAAAGGAAAAAGGCAAAAAAGACAAAGCAGGAGATCCTGACCGTAGATCCTGTAGCACATTCTGCAGAACAGTACAATTTTTGACGTTAGTGCTGAAACAAGCTGCCACTTGGTAAAGTTCAAGCATGAGTTCTTTCAAGCAATATATTCTTCAAACACTACATTTTAGTTTCTCTTTTTTTTAGTACCAACAATTGAACTGAGGACCTCATGCTTGCCAGGCAGGTACTGTGTCCCAGTCCTTTAGTTTTAGAGACAGGGTTTCCTCCCGTCTTCCAGGAATGCCAAGAATACAGGCATGCTCCACCACAGCCAAACATTAAATTTTGATGGAATGAATTTAGTAAAAGTATAGATTAGTTGGTACGAACAACAGAAAAAAAAAGCAAACCTAGTCTGCTTGCTGCCCCTTACCTAATCCCTGCACTCTGGGAGGCTCAAGTATATGAATTAAGTTTCAGTCTAGCCTAGGCAACTGAGACTGTCTTCTGGGTTCAACTCCCAGTATCACACAAATTAGTAAAAAAAAAATGAAAATAAACCATTGCAATAATATACATGACAATGGTGCACTGAACATGAACCAGCCATAGTGGTAAGGTGGTTTTGTCTTTTTGTTTTTTGTTTTGAGACAGTGTCTCAACTCTGCAGTTTAGGCTGGCCTTGAATCATTTTGTAGCCCAAGATGTCTTTAAACTTGCAGCAACCCTCCTGCCTCAGCCTCCAGAGAACGGGGATTAGAGTTGTGATAGAATTCTAAGGAATGGTAATTTTCTGAAGGACTAAAGGTTAAGTACCAAAAAAAGTCAAGGAGATATACACCAGTCTTTGGCCTAAGTGAAATGAAAACTGGAGTTTCATTAGCAAAAAAGGAGCTGGGGGCATGGTGGAAGGGGAGCAGGATGAAGTCAGTCTGTGCTAAATAGTGAGATCAAGGCTACAGTACACAGATAAACCCTTTCTCAATAAATAAAACTAACCAAAAAGGGACGAAGAATTAAGTTTAAGGAAAGACTAGCCAAGCTTTTTACGTTAATATGCTTGACATTCACAGAACTGTGAATTTCATTTTGGAACAACATCCAGGTTGTTGGCATAAATTTGAGAATAATGGGCTTGTAGTATGGGTAAGAAATAGGACCTTCACTCCAACAGAAGTAGAAGCACCATAACCTAGAAGTGAAGCAAAAAGTTTCATGGATGAAGAGTGGTATACCTAAGTGACAACCACAGGTTAAGCAAGATGAGGACTAAAAGTACAGAATTTAGGAATATACACTGGTCTCTTACTCCTCAGTTTTTGGTAGCTATTTTCCAGTATTGTCTTGATCCAATGTAAATTTTTCTTCTATCCCACTATCTGTGCTTTCACATGTAGTATTCCTGATCTCAGATTGACCATCAGTTCCTTTACTGCATACACGCTTACCGGTCATTTTCTAGGCCATTTCCACACTGCTCTAACTGTGACATTTCTAAAAACAAAATCGTGATTTTTCTCTGTTTGGAATCCTCAAACTGGGTGTAACAGCACAAACCTATACTCCTAGTATTCAGGAAGCTGACTGAGGCAGAAGGGTAACAGGTGCATTAAGAGGTCAGCCTGAGCTAGTTAATTAAGTTCAAGGGTAGTCTTAATAGCAACACAGCAGCTAAAGAAAAAAAACTTTTTTTGAAGAAAAAAGAAAAGGACAACCCACTTGGGACCCCTTCTTCTCTCTCCTAGACAGTAGCTTTCTCTCAATAAATATGTTCTGCTCATAAAAAAAAAAAAAAAAAAACCGTCAATAGCTCACTACCAGAAAAAATAGAAACTTCTTGGCATGATACTGCAGTTTTTAATGATCTGCTTTTACCTGAAGATTCAATTCAGTTTACATCCTCTTAAAATCATTCCCTGACATCTTAATCAATTAGACATGGATTTCTGCATGTTTCTGTAGTACTGTTGATTGCTAATCATGGTGCTATTATCTCTTGCATCTGTCTCCCTTAGTAGGCAGTCTCTTAAAGCTACTAATACTACTGTATCCCCCCAAAGCAGAAAAATATAATCTATAAAATGACTGATCATACATTAAACCTAATGTAAACAACTAGAGGTACGCTTGGTGGCACCCTCCTATAATCCTAAGACTCAGGAGGGCTGAGCTAGGAAGATAAAAATTCAAGGCCAGCCTGGGCTTATTGAGTTTAAAGCCAATCTGCTCTGCAAAGTGAGATCCTAGCTTTAAAAAAAAAAAAAGGCAAGCCGGGCATGGTAGTGCACAAGCTTGTAATCCTAGCACTTGGGAGGCTGAGGCAGCAGGACTGTTGCAAGTTCAAGACCAGCCTGGGCTACAAAGTTCAAGGCCAGCCTGAACTGCATAGTGAGACCCTATCTCCGAAACAAAAAAACAACAAAAGAAGGTAAACAACTGTCACACAACACAGAACAAAATGGGCATCAACACAATTTTGACCCTTACTAGAAAAATCTCAGTGCTTTTCTGGGTAACAGGAACTTTTGCTTCAACTATTTCCCATTCCATTTTCCTTTCATTTAACTGGATTTCATTTGACTAATTTTACTTTTCTGGTCTGTTTGGATAGGAAAGGTGTATGTAAGTGATTTATTGCTCTAGCACCCCGGCACAAGGCACAAAGGAGGCTAAGGCAAGAGGATCACTGTGAGTTTGAAGGCAGCCTGGGCTACAAAAATGAGTTAAAGGCCAACTTGAACACAGTGAAACCCCGTCTGAAAAGACACACACGCACGCAAAAAAACTATTTCCCTGTAGAGCCAGGTATGATGGCAGATGCCCATAGTCCAGCACTCAGGAGGCTAAGGCAAGAGCAAAACCATCTCCAAAAAAAGAAAACTTCACTGTAGTCACTAAAATACTAAAGGTTACAAAAATTTGTAACTCTTGCTATTCACATCATTGTTTTGAATCCTCACAAAAGTACAGGAAGAAGCAAAAAGGTGGTTCTACCACCAAAGCAAACACACTGGAAAATCCAATAAGTAACTGGATTCAGTCCTTGATCCTTCTTCATTTGGATGCAGAAATTTTTTTATCATCCTGCTGAGATTAAAAACCCTACCTTCCCTTTACTTAATGCCTCAAAACATTCTATTATTATAACATGTCTTTTTGTGTTACGATTCACATTAAATTTAGTTCAGATAAAAATAATCCAGGAAACTGCCACACAAACCTCAAGATTAAGTCACACTTTTACTATTCTGCAGTAATCTAAGAAAAAAGACTTCCCACTATGTCCTTGCCTTGTTGCTATTAAGATGTCTCAATCTGAAGTAAAATTCAGCTCTTTGTAATTACTAAAAATTTTCTGGTCAGCCTGTTAATCATTGTTACTTACAGTAGTCTACAAAAAGCTGAGGATGCCTCTCCTGGGAATCATAAACTATATACCCACAAGGTTTAACCTGAACACTTCCAGAGGCTATAACCTACACATCAACTAAAATGAGTCTGTTCCCTAGTCTTTGCAATGAAACCAAGTGGACCTTACACCTCTTACCATCACCCAGGAAGGGTGTGCATCTGTTCCGAAGGCCCCCCTGGCTCCAGGTCATCCTGGCTGATGCTGCTCCAGGCTGGGCATCCATGTTGCTGCAGCTTGTGGTTTGTGAGGAGTAGTGTACAGGAAAAGCAGGATGGGATTTCAAGGGAAACAGGAGGAAGATGGCTTTCCAGGAAAATGCCATCACTATAATAGGTGTTAAGTAGTACCACACACATTTTATTGCAGCACACTTTAAAAATTTAACAAATGAAAGATTAAAAATAAAAAACAAAAATAAAAAAAATTAAAAATACAGACGTCCAGAGATGCTCTAAAACAGTTAAGTTAAAGATCAGGAAAAATAAGGTCACAGACTTAACAGCCAGTAAAATTATTTCCAGTGTGGGGAAGGGGTTGAGGGCAAGGGTGAGGTTGGGAGAGAAGGTTTATATCAATCCACTTAAAAATGCTAATGCCTTTGCTTTCTCTCCCAAGGTATAAAACTCCAAAGTTAATCAGGAGGCCGAAGAAATTCTTACAAACATTCAGAAAAACTCGATTTTAATCTGGTTAAAAATCATCAGTGTCATTATCATCATCATCATCACCATCATAAATATAATAATAATAATAATAATAAATAATAATAATAACTAGTCACAACAATAAAAAGGAAATCAGCGGAAAGTCAGGAAAAATGTAAAAAAAAAATTGGAGTAACTTACTGTAGCTGAAGATCAAAAAAATCTCACTGTAAAAAAACAAAAATAAAAATAGCCCAGATTAGAAAAACGGGAGGTAAAAAAATGTCAAGTAAGTAAAGTTCATTTCTTTTCTTTCCAAAAGCAGTTTCCACAAAAACCGCAAGGTAATGTTCTCAGTAGCAGACAAGCAAAGCCCTTTCCACATCATCCATCAATCTTAAAAATACACGAGGAAGTAGAGAGGTCAGTTTATAAGAGGCTAAAAGGCTCCACCTCTAACCCAACTGCTAAAAAATAGAAATATTAAAAATTACATCTTAAATCCAGGTCCCGTTTTTTGGAAACAATTAAAAAAAAACACCTGTAAATTTTCTGTAGTGCACACCATGTTGCATCATTATGTATAAAATGTCTTTTTAAAATCAGTTTTGAAATGGGAATGTGTGTGTTCTGAAAGGGTGGGGAAAGGAGGTTAAAAATCAAAGCTGAGCTCCAGTGAGTAGGGATGGGGTTCGCCTTGCTGCCCTGTGAAAGGAGAAGGGACAGATTGAGTCAGAGTTCCTCAGAAATGTTGTGCCCTAACCCCTGACAGAAAATATCTGTCTACTGCATCTAACACATTTTGGTAAAGCATAACATTTCGCTGGGATGGGAAGAGCCTTTATAGAATCATCACTTTTACCAGTGACTGTCTTTACAATCGTTAACACCAATAGGTTGTAAAAATTAACTAAATATGTCAACATTCCCTTAGGGGTTCTTAAGGAGTATACATTTGAACATTTATGTTGATAATCAGCAGTTTGGGCAAAGAAAATAAAGAACTAGGCCAACACAAAGATAAAAGAAGTGAATAAATGTCAAATACTGAAAAGGTAAGCAGATTCAAAGGTTTTAAACTTTCAAATCTATGTACTTAACACAGACCAAAGGTAAATGGTCTACCATGAAGATACACACTAGAGATGACTCATCTATTCTCAAAACCAGTGAGTTGAGCTCAGAATGGTGGTGCATGCCTGTCATTCCAGCTACTTGGGAGTGAGTCCAGACTGGGCAGCTTGGCAAGACCTTATTCTCAAAGTAAAAGGACTCCAGGGTTTAATTCAGTGGTAGAAAGCTTGCCTAACATTCATAAGGCCCCTATAATCAGCCCACAACACTAAAGAAAGAAAAAAGAAAAGAGAGTGAGTGATCAAACCACAAGGCCTGGAGAAGGAAAAGATGTTTTAAGGAGCCCTTTCTGTCTGATTAAAGAAAAAAGTCATATGAAGGGGGAAATATATCTATATGGTCACTGAGTAATGTTATAAGCAGATGAAAACCTTATGGTCCTTGTGGAATTTGTGGTTCATTACACATATCCAATACACACATTTATCGATATATATAAATTACAAGTTATAGAGTAAAAGCATCTGGTACCTAACACAAAACTGATGGTTATATTAACTAGAAAAATTGCAATTAGACTGCTAACTCACTGTGCAAGTAAGTATGAAATGATTCTATTCACATTTCAGTGTTTAGCCATCAAGTCTTACTCATCCTTCAAATTTCAATAAACTCAAGCATCTATTTTTTTGACAGGGTCTCACTACTTCATTCAGGCTGGCCTCGTATTCCTGACAATCCTGCCTCAGCCTCCCCATGCTAAGAGTACAGGCGTGTGCCACCACACCCAGTTAAGTATTTTAAACTGTGGAGTTTCTTTGGTCTGTGTGTTTGTGTGTGTGAATCAAACTCACGACTGCATGCTTGCAAGGCAGGTGCTTATGCTGCTGAGATAAATCCCCAGCCCCTCTTTGGTCTTTCTGAGACAAGGATTTCCCTATGCACTTCAGGCTGACCTCGAACTCAACAATCCTTCCTACTCTCCAGAGTGCTGGGATTATAAGTGTGCACTAACACACCTGGTTTAAAACTTTTTTTTTTAAACTAAGTTTTTAAACATGGTTCCTTGAACCAAAGATGAAAAGATTACAGCAACGTAACAGGTACAAAGATTTTAACAAATTTTTTGAAAGTAGACAAACAGCCATGATATGTAAGTTACTTTTACATTTTATCGTGCAAATGTAAAAACTGTTAAGATTTGCATAAAACTTTAGAAAATATGTATCTGAATGTCACTTCAGAGTCATTATTTTGGAAATAACAGTGCAACATTCATATCTGGAGTCACAGTCTGAATCAGCACAAAATTTAAGGGTGATGGTACATGTCTATAATTTCAGTACTGGAAGCTGGGACAGGGAAATCACAAATTCAAGCCCAGCATGGTCAATTTAGGGAGACCCCGTCTCAAAATTAAAAATAAAAACCAGAAATATTAAAAAAAAAAGGTTCTCAGTTTAATCCCCGATATCAGGAAAGTTTTTTCTTCAGATGTTAATTTTGACTCATCTACAAGCAAATCCTTTGCACATGTGCCACAAACTAAAAAAGCAATAATGTGAAAGCTTTTATATCCTTCAATTTCAAAATGTCTTCCCCTAAAGACATGTTAAATTGATGCACTACAACTCAAAAACAAAGATCCAAAAAAGCAAATTATAAGATTTTTCAATTAAAATGACTAGAAAAACCATTATCACTGTATTATACTCATTCACAATACCCTAAGGTTTGGATTCCTTCTACAAGTACTCTCAGGGAATTATGACAACCAACAACATAAGCACCCTCACCTGCCCTTACTACAGATCCAATTCTAAAGCCCCTTCAAGTTAGGTGTGGTGGTGCATGCCTTTAATCCCAGCACTTGGGACACTGAGGCAGGACTGCTTGAGGTTACAGGCCATCTTGGGCTATGCTCTAGGACAGCCTGAAATGCACAGCCATATGCTGTCCCAAAAAGACAAAAACAAAAAAATAAAACCCCATCAGACTAACCCAATTAGAACTCTTGTGCTGATCCCAGCAATGTTTTAATCAGCCCTCTTGCTGATTCTGTTATCAGCTCATGTTGAAGTTCTCCATGAAAACTGTTAAAAACCCTATCCCTAGTTATGATATCATTCTTTGCCAGGAATGGTAGCTGACAGCTACCATCACTTAGGGGTGGGCTGACCTGAGGCAGGAGGAGGCTCCAGTTCAAGGACAGCCTGAATTACATAGTAAAACCCAGTCTAAAGAGAAAAACAAAATCAATTCCTTAATGTGTCTTTTCTTCACAGTGTAGTGAGACAGAAACAAAATGTTTTCCTAATACAAATAAAACTTCCAAACCCAGTGGCACATGCCTGGAATCCCAGCACTCCAGCGGCTGAAGCAGGAGAATCCTGGCCAAGTTTGAGGCCAGCCTGAGCTAAACCATAAATTCAAGGCCAGTCTCAAGCACAGAGTGAGTAAAACGTGTCTCAAAACAAAATACAGGGGCTGGGGATTTAGCTCAGCGGCATGAGCGCCTGCCTTGCAAGCAGGCAGTTGGGAGTTTGATCCCCGGTACCAATTAAAAAAAAAAAAAACAACACTGCAGGGTCAGGGATTTAGCTCAGGGGCATAAGTGCCTGCCTGGCAAGTGCTAGGTCATGAGTTCAATCCCTGATACAAGAAAAGAAAAAAAAAAAACCCCCACACAAAAAAACACAACACTGCATATAGTGGAGCATATTATCCTAAGTCCAGCATTCAGAAATGGAAACAGGAATGTTAAACCCAAGTTTGAGACCAGCCTGAAATACACAGCAAGACATTGTATTTTTTTAAAAGGTTTAGGTGGCCAGAGATTTAGCTCAACAGTGTGTCTGCCTGGTAAAAGGTCATGAGTTCAATCCCTGGTACCCAAACAAAAAACAAAAACTTCAAAAAAATTTTTTTTAAACTTAAAAAAGTTAAACCCAAGAAAATTGCAGTCTTTCACACTGATTCAGTGTTATCTTCCACAGAAAGTTAAAATACGATTTCCTTTTCTAAATCTAAAAACTGACCATCAAATAATGAGCATCCCTAGTTATGCTTCATCTAGCATCTCTCTGGTTTTTGCCAGATCCTCTAGTAAATTTAACACATACAAAATATAATCTTCCCAGTACTCAATAAATATACATACACTGTTAAGTATGAATAATGCTCCTCAAAGACTAGTAACATACTGACATACTGCATGAAAGCAATAAATAATAATATAAAAAACGTAATACTAAACTTTCCTGTACTTTTCAGCCTTTCACAAAGAATGACTTCTGTTACAAAAATAAAGAGGTAGTCCCCTTATTTTGTAACTATAAAGCCAAAATGCGTAAGTTTTAACTGATTTGTCCACGATCACATATAATCAGTAAGGAGGATTGAAATCTAGTTCTCCTAACTGTAGGCCAAGATTCTTTTCACGGTTATATTCCCTGATTAACACCTCCCAAACTCACCATTAATATACTTAATCTTTAAAATTAGAACACCTAGCTATTTTGGAATACTGCATATGCCTTGTTTCTAACCACCATCCCATACAAAACAAGGTCACATGTAATGTCAAACTCCAGACATCTAATTATAAACACTGTTTTTAAATCTCTACAGAAGGAACAGCAAGTATCAGGTATTTCCAAAAAGGTTTCATCTAGGCAAAAAAGAGGTCCTAATATGTAAATAATGCTTACTCAGTTGAGACATTAGAATTGTTAAGATACTAATTTTCTAGTTAGAGTTCCTGATATTAACTCACAAAATTTTTTACCTTCTTGGTACATGATGATCCACAGGAACCTCTGTTTCTGACATCTCAAGGAAATGTCCTTCAACTAACTTCAACACCCACCAGTAATTGCTCTACAATGATCTTTGACATTTAATAGATTACTTTCTATTAAATCAATTACTGCCCTCACATTTCACTTCTAATCATTGAGCATCAGGAAAAACTAGCTTTGGTTTTTGGTTTGAGATAGGGTGTCTCCCTCTGTAATTCAGGCTGGCCTTCAACTTGCAATGTTCTGCCTGCCTCAGTTTCCCAATTGCAGGGATTACAAGGGTGTACCACCATGCCTGGCCACTGAGAAACTAGTTTTAAACTCATATATAATACAAATATTTAGGTTTTAAATAATGAAAGGGAACCAGGCCTGCTGGCACATGCTTGTATCTAGGCACTGAAGGCGCTGAGACAGGACAACAAATTCAAGCTCAGGCTGGGCAATTTAGCAAAACCCTGGCTCCAAGTAAAATACCACTGGGGCAGTAGCTCAGTATTGAGTTCCCTTGGTTTGATTCCCAGTAAAGCAAAAATAAAAAGCATGCTTTTTGACATCTACTTTCTATCAAACAAATTTAAAGGACAAATCTGCACAGTATTAATTTATACTGCGCTTAAAAGCATTAACTTTTGTGAAAAATAACACCAACCAAATATTACACATGAATTTTTAAAGTGACTTCAATAAGAATATTACACTAAAGCCCTATGTAGTTTTTTATTACTTATACTAAGAATTGATCTCAGAATTTGCTGCATACTATGCGAGGGCTCCATCACTGGAATACAATCCTGGAAGAACTGACTTGTTTTTTGCTATACAGGGAATTGAACCCAGGGGTGCTGGAGGTTAGGTAAGCACTCCATTACTAAATTACATCCCAAACCTCAATTAATTCTTAATTTACAAAAAAACTTAGTGAAAGTTTCAGTATCTAACAAATAGGCACTTAAATAGCATTTTTGACGTTTTACAAGGGATTCGTGCCAAAATATCCTGCGAAATTAAATTTTTAAATTTTTCATCGTTAGAAATCAACGATGAATTCTGTAGTTTTTCCAATTCCAATTCCAATTTACAAATTTCCAGTTACTTGCGGTTTCTAGAACTTGCGTTCCCCTGAAGATTAAAATACTACTTAAGTACCTAGCATTCCAACTACTAAGAAAAACTACTTGACCTACCTACTGGTCACATTCCTTAGTAATGTTGCTACTGATTTAATACGATCCTGACAATCTTATGCCTTAGTTTCTGTGAAAAGTAATACCTACCTGAAGCAAAGTCCCACTAATTTATGTATTTCAAGTGATTTGTAACCTGCAGATAAAAAAGTCAGCTGTAATTATTAGTGTTAATTAGGCTACGAAATTTCCTTTTAAAAACCTAAAAGAAAATAACTACTTCGAGATCCATCATCTGCTTACAAAGAACAAAATGAAAAGCGCTCAATAAAAAACAATTGTCTGGCACGGCGGCGCACGCGGAGGGAGGGAGGCAGAGGCAAGAGGATCCCCTTTAGTTCGTGGGCAGCCTGGGTCACCCAAAAAGACACCAACTCGAGGGTTAAAATATTACCCTCATGCTATTGAGCAGGATCCAGATTTCAGAGGCTCGCGGAACACCTATTTGTTGACCCTGACCTACTCCCCGCCTAAATTTTAAATTTGAGGCAGCCGGCGTAGTGACGCACGCATAAAATCCCAGCAGTCGAGGCTGAGACAGGAAGATCGCCGAGTTGAAGGCCAGACAGAATAAAGAGCCCCTGTCTCAAGAAATAATAACGTATCAAAAAGCAAGAATTTAAGACGACAGACGTAACGGAAGGCATCAATACATTTTCAATTATGTTAACGAGCATCCCGAGCTTCACTTTCACCGTCTCTCGGAGTCTTGACGAACGTAGAAATGGAAAACAAAAGCAGCCGTTAAACGCCAGAGCGAACAAAAGACATTTTCCCTGATGATAGTAATCTAGAGTAAAGTAGGTTAAACCTCCGCAAAGGCTGTGGCCTGAAAAACTCTCCCCACTTCATCCCCGACAAATGAGGCCTGGTTACTTGACCGAGAATTCCTTCGTCTTTCTCTCCCACACCCCTTGAAGTCCCCTGAAAAACCCAGCGCATCCCTGCCGTCCACCCCCTCCACTTACCAGGAGAGGGGCGAGAGAAGAGATTCGATTCCGAATCTCCTACTCCCAGGTTCTACGTGCAGAAGTCGGCTGCTGCTCGAGGTCGGAAACGCGGACGCAACCACTCGGTCTCCGTCTCTTCACAAAATGGCCCCCGAATCTCCTCTGCCTCCAAGGCGAAGGCCTAGCCCCCGCCCCACTTCTAAGAACCTTTCTATTGGCTGTGCCTTTTCTCGCTCCAACTGCTAATTAGACAGCTCTACCGCTCTTCACAATTATAACCAATCACAACCAGAGGTGGGTGAGACTAAACCCCACAATTTCCACATGCGCGACAGAAGCTAGTTTGTGACTGGCTAGCTTTCTTGTCACTTAGTGCCTGAAGACTGGTTATTGGCCACTATATCAGACAGAGTGGGGGGTGGAAGTTCGCCTTTGTATCGCGTACCGCTTCACATCCGGGTATCCGGAAAGTTTGAGTGGCGGCTTCAATGTCCAATCTCTGTTGTTTACAACGCCTAGCAGAAGGCGGTTCGCAGCTCGGAATTCCCGCGGTGCGAGGGCGGGGTGAGGGCTAGGGCTGTAGTCAGCGTGCTCGAAAAATCTGCTTTGGCCTGGGGCATAAGAAAAAGAAAACGCGCCAAAAGGAAACTACGCCGCGCTGTACCGATAAAGAAAGGCCTTTCCCTAGAGTGAGGAGGCAGCGATGATGAAGAAGCCATGTTCCGGTGGAGAAAACTAAGCAGCTCCGCAGTTCCCCCGATCCTTTCTGGTCGACTGTCAGCTTCCTTCCGGGCATCTAAGCCGTAGTCCTGCAGGCCCTTTCCCCAACGCGGCTCCACCTGCGGCAGCCGACTGCCATATCCTCTCCAGCACAAAAACAGACTTGTATTTTAAAGCAATACATACATACAGGCAAAAAAAAATTTTTTTCTAACAGTATTTAAAGGGGTCCGATACGAAAGGTAAAAGATCTCTGTCCCCCAATCTTAGCAAGCTTTCTTATAAATGTTCAGGCTCCCATGCTCTGCTCCCATTTCCCTAATAATCTATGAGCCAATCACGACGGCCTGGCCCTCCGAAGCTGGTCCCTTACACACCCTCACCCCGAGGGCCTGTGTCCCTCACTGCCTGAAAGTCTCCGTGCAGAGACCAGTTCTTCCCCGAAAAGGAGGCCTCCGGGCCGCTGTCGGGGCGCAAGCGCATCATCGCCACCAGAGCGGCCCCGGGGCCTGTGCCCTACCCAGAGCCCGCGTGTGAGTTGAAGTAGCAAGCTATCAGACATCTTTGCATTTGTACACATTTGAAGAGATGCGTGAATACGTGAAGGCAGTGTTTTTGTGTTGGTTTTGAGTTAATTATGAGTTCCAGAGAGATTCATAAGAAACCTAGCTTATTGCTTTTGCTAAGAGAAACTTTTTTCCTTTTTCAGTGGTGCCTCTTTTTGTAACAAAAGTTGTTTTTTTTTTTTAAATATATATATATATATATTCATGCATTGTTTTAAACCAAAAAGCAAAATTAAACAGCAAGAGGAAAAAATTCACTAGGTCATTAATAGTTTCTCCTATTTTTGCAGGACAAGGAAGATAATGTTATATATATATATATATATATATATAGGGAGGTGAGGTTTAAATAGGAATCAAACTCAGAACCTCATGCTTAACAGGCAGGCACTGGGCCACTGAGCTAAATCCTTGGCCTATATATATATCCCCCAGCATTAGTATCAAACCCAGAGCCTTGCCTCATGCTACACAAGTGTTCTACCACTGAGCTACATCACCAGCCCCGTAGTTCCTGTAACTATTTGGGGATGTCTCTTTGAGACAGGGTCTCATTATGCAATTCAAATAGGCCTTGAACTCATTTTGTACCCTAGGCTGCCCTCAAATTTGCAAGGATTCCCCTGCCTAAACCTCTGAAGTGCTGGGATTACAGGCATGCACCACCACGCCCAGTTTTGTAATTCATCTAACTCTTGACTAGTTTTTTATTCTTCACTATTCTTACAGAATAAGCATGTTTATAAAATGTTAAACTAACTCTGGTAGCACACATCTGTAATCCCAGCACTTTGAGAAGCCAGGGCAAGAGGTTCACAAGTTCAAATCCTACCTGAACAATTTAGCAAGACCATATCTCAAAAAAATTGAAGGAGCCTGGAGATACAACTCATTTAGAAGGCCCTGGGTTTGCCAGGCATGGTGGCTCACACCTGTAATCCCAGCACTCGGGAGGCTGAGGCAGGAGGATCATTGCAAGTTCGAGACCAGCCTGGGCTACAAAGTGAGCTCAAGACTGGCCTGAACTAGTAAATAAAGACCCTGTCTCAAAAAGACAAAAAAAAAAAAAAAAGGCCCTGGCTTTAATAGCCAGTATCTCCTTCCTCCCTACCTACCAACATTCTAATATTGAATGCGCTATTGGATGACTGTAAGAGGGAAGCCATGAACCAGATTTCAGTACTAACAGGATGGGGGTTGGGGTAAGGAAACAAAAAGAGCAGCTCCTTAACTTGGGCACAAGAGAAAACAAAACCGTGCAAATAGACTTGGAGATTTAATAAGAAATTCGGTAACATATATAGATGCAAAGTCAGCAGTCAAAAATCAATAGCCTTCTTGTACATATTTAACAAACTCAAAGAGAAATTAGAGAAACATCATTCACAATAGCATCCAAAAAAATGAAATACCTAGGAATCAGTGTGACAAAGGAAGTAAAAGAGTTCTACACTGACAACTACAGTACTCTAATAAAGGAGTTTGAAGAAGATAACAGAAAATAGGAAGATATCCCTTGCTCTTAGGTAGAAAAAAACCAATATAGTGAAAATGACCATACCCCCAAAATTGTTATACAGATTCAATGCAATCCCAATACAAATTCCAACATCATATCTCATAGAATTAGAGAAAATAATCCTAAAGTCATTTGGAACCAGAAGAGACCTAAAATAGTAAAGGCAATTCTGGGCAACAAAGGTAAGGGGGGAGGGGGAGGGGGAGTTGGGGATTTAGCTCAGCGGCATAAGCACCTGCCTTGCAAGCAGACAGTCGTGAGTTCGGTACCAATAAAAAGCAAAAAGACAAAAAAAAAAAAAAAAAAAGGTAAGGCAGGAGGCATCACAATTCCTGACTTAAAATTGTACAATAAAGCTACTGTCATAAAATCAGCATGATACTGGCAGGAAAAAGAAAGAGATCTGACAATCAGTGGAACATATTAGATGATACAGAAACAACAGACATACTCCATCATATCTTTGACAAAGATGACAAATACCTCTAGAGGAAGAAAGTTAACCTCTTTAATAAACAGTGCTGGAAAAACTGGCTTTGCATATGCCAAAGATTAAAACTAGACTTCTTGGAGCCAGGGATTTAGTTCAGAGGCATAAGTGCCTGTGTGAAAAGCATGAGGTTGTGAGTTTGGTCCCTGGTACCAAAAACAAAAAACTAGAGTCATCTTTCACCAAGCACTGAACCAAAATCGAGATGGATTAAAGATCTAAATACTGCTAAAGATACAGCTCAGCAGCACAGTGCCTCCCTGAAGACTGCAAGGTTTTGAGTTTGATACCCAGTACAAGAAACAAACAAACAAAATCTAATTTTGGGGAGGAGGTACTGTGGATTATACTCATTACCTTGTGCTTACCAGGCAAGTGCTTAAGTCACTGAACTATATCTCCAGCCCAAAATCTAAATATTAAAATTGAAAAACTTAACCTGCTGCAAAATAGAGTAGGGGAACTCTCAAAGACATTGGTATAGGCAAAGACTTTATGAACAAAACCTCAACTGCAAGGGAAATATTACAAAACTAACTGGAATCTCATCTTATTAAAAAGATTTTGCTCAGCAACAGAAATCAACAGCACAGCCGGGCGTAGTGGCTCATGCTTGTAATCCCAGCACTTGGGAGGCTGAGGCAGGAGGATCGTTAGGAGTTCGAGACCAGCCTGGGCTACAAAGTGAGTTCAGGTCCAGCCTGAACTGCTTAGTGAGAACCTGTCTCAAAAAGACAGAAAAAAAAATAAAAAGAAAGAAAAGAAATCACCAGCAGAATGAAGAGACAACCAACAGTGTGGGAAAAAATTTTTGTCAACATTTCCTCAAGACTACTACCTAGAATATATAAAGAACGCAAAAAATCAAGCCCCCTAAATTTAAAGATCTAATCCAAAAATGAGCATCTGAGATGAATACATTTCTTCATTAGATGAAGAAATAGAAATGGAAAATAAATATATGAAAAACTGTTCAACATCATGGTCATTTGAGAAATGCAAATTAAAACAGTGTTGAGATGGGGTTGAGGGTTTAGCTCAGAGGCATAAGTGCCTGCCTTGCAAGCACACATTCGTGAGTTTGATCCCTGGTACCAATTTAAAAAAAAAAAAAAAAAAAAAAAAAAACAATGCTGAGACTCCACCTCATCTCAGAAAGAATGGCTATTGGAGAGAAATCAACCAGTAACAAAATACTGGCATACCTGTAGGGAAAAAGGAACATTTCTCTGCTTTTGGTGGGTGTAGATGAGTGCAATCACTGTAGAAATCAGTACGGAGAGTCCTTAAAACACTAGGACTAGACATTTCATTCAACCCTTGTTGGTATCTTCCCAAAAGAATTAAAAGCATAACATCAAGCATGGTGGTGCACACCTGTAATCCCAGAACTCAGGAGGCTGAGGCAGGAGGATCATTAAAAGTTTGAGATCAGCCTGGGCTACAAAGTGAGCTCAAGGCCAGCCTGAACTCAAAAAAGAAAAAAATAAATAAAATGTCATGCCACAATAATATGTATACACCCATGTTTTAGTGGCACAGTTTTTAAGAGCTAAACTTTGGAAACAGCCCAAATGCCCATCAATCAGTGAATAGATATATAAGATGTGGGATTTTTTTTATATAATGGTGTATTACTCTGCCATAGAGCATAAGCTTCAGACATTCTTAGCTACATGGATGCACCTTGAGACCATACTCTGAAGTGAAATAAACTGGACACACACATGTAAACACCATTTTGTTCTCTGGTGTGAGAAACCAAAAGTGTAAATAAAGACCAAAACGTGTAATAGATATTGTGAGCCAGGAAGAAAATGTTCCCGTGGGAAGGGGACCTAAGGAGGAGGAGAAGGAAAGGAAGAAAAAGAAAAAATGTGAAAAGAAGGGAA